TAAAGCTGCTTTCCTGCATTTAAAAGCTCTTTTATCAGGTAGCCTCAGAGCACTCTAATATCTGCACCGTTAGAGACACAATAAGTTCTTTCTAGGCATAGTCACTGAAGATAGAAAAGAATACAGTCCACGCCTGATCTGTCCTTGGCCAAAGAGAAAGAAAAAGAGTTTCTCTATTACAGATTCATTTTGAAAACCCAATGGGAAGGGCTCTGACTGGCAGCCTGGGGAACTATAATTGTCTCAGCCTGGGCCCATTCTGTGACCAGGGAGGTGGAGGTGTTACTAGACAGAGGGGATATAGGGGATGCTAGGCAGATCAAGAACAGCCCACTGATAATCTAAGATATACACTGACACAGAAATGAGTAAGATGAGTTTCTAATCTCAAGGTGCTTACAGTTTAGTGCAAGGGAAAAGATATCAAGTAGTTTATAATTTAGGTGAGGAGACAAAATTATCATACAATAAAGCAACGGTGAACAATTCTACATGGTATATAATTAAGTGCTAAATTGTGTGGTACAGATCACAAGTGATGTAGTTGTTCTAAAGAGAGGAAAATCAATACAGTAGTAATTAACATGGATTAGGATTTAAGGAATGGGGAGGATTCCTTGGCTGGAAGAGCGCAGAGGAAGAAATTGAGGGGAAAGGAAAGGAAATTCAGAGGAAAAGACTAGTATGAATGAAGGAATGGAGATAAAGGACAGTCAGTGAGGAGACTGGCTTGAGGAAAGCTGAGTGTGCCCAGTAAGTGAGAGCTCACAAATCACATGGCTAAGGCTGGTAACAATGTCTGTAGCTTTATCTACAAGTGTCGAATCTGACAGGAACCACACCCGTAGTTACCACCCTCCTACCTAATTAAAGGGCAATGGCGGTAGGAGGGGGAGGAAGAGTGAAGTTATCCACATGGGACCAGGAAGAGATCAATGGTATCAGAACAGCGGGCACCTCCACGTGTGCATAACCTCAGAAGAGGCCAATATAGCCAGAAAGGACTTCAGGAGAGTGAACCATAACTTGAGTGTTGGATGAATTAAAACTGGTTGAGAAACTCTTTCTTTAATGAATTAGATCTCTATGTATTTATATGGAAAGATCTTTAAGACTCTTAAACACCATAATTTGGGAATCTCTACTTGACTTCCCGACTAAAATATTTTCATAAAATTCCATTGCCTTAGAATGAAATCCAAAAGTTTTAGCATGGCATAGATGTCCCTTCTCATCTAACCCTTGTTTACCTTTACAGCCTGGCTCCCACCTCTGCCTGAGAGGCTCTGGTATAGAGAACTATGGGTACTTCTCTGACGGTTGATCATATCTTGCTTTTTCATGTCTCTGGGTCTCCTTTTTTTTTTGAGACAGGGTTTCACTCTGTTGCCCATGCTAGAACGCAGTGGCACAATCATAGCTCACTGCAACCTCCAACTCCTGGGCTCAAGAGATCTTCCTGCCTCAGTCTCCTGAGAAGCTAGGACTACAGACACATGCCACCATAACCAGCTAATTTTTTAAAAAAATATTTTTGCATAGACAAGGTCTTTGTTGCCTAGGCTAGTCTTGAATCCTGACCTCCAGTGATCCTTCTGCCCCAGCCTCCCAAAGTGCTGGGATTACAGGCGTGAGCCACCGAGCCTGGCCTGGGCTCCTCTTTGAGTATCTATTTCATCTTCCTGTGCTTGCCTAATTCCTGCTTGTCCTCTAAGACAAAGTTTGAATATTTCTTCTTCTAGGAACTGTAGGATTATGAGTGATTGCATTTTTAATTTGTTTATGGTAAATATGAATATTTTTCAGAATGTAAATATCAAGGAAAATGTCATTCAACTAAATAGAGTTAAAATAAAATTTAAAAAAGAATAATAAAAAGAAAAAAACCCCATGTCAACAAGGTGAATGGAACAAGGGGAAAGACCACTATGTAGGATCACTCCATACTTTCTCTCCGAAGTAATCCCAGGAGGTAATTCAAGAATAAAAGTCTTAATTTCAAAAACAATTTTTCCCATTGTATTAGCAAGGTTAAAAACAAACAAACAAACAAACAAACAAGGATAATTCTTAATAAGAAAGTCTCATTTACTATTGGTGGAAGTGTAAACGGGATGATCTTTTTGGAGAGTTTTTTGGTAATGACTATCGAAGTGTGTATATATTGTTTTACCTCCTATTAACTTTACTTCTAGGAATTCATTCTACTGAAAATACTTGCACAAACACATGATTATACACATAAACAGGGAAGGCTATATAATTTATGGGTCCAGAGCAAAATGAAAATGCAGAGCCCCTTGTTCAAAAAGCAGGGGAAAAAATGCCATTAAAAGTGCTAAAATATAAAACTTTTTCCTTTATTCCACAGTCTCTTTCTTGAGCTATCATGGTGAGGTTTTGTGTGTGTGTGTGTGTGTGTGTGTGTGTGTGTGTGTGTGTGTGCGTGTTTAAATTATGCTAAGAATACAACATGAGATCTACCCTCTCAACCATTTTTAAATGTATAGTACAGTATTGTTAACTTTAGGGATAATGTTGTACACCAGATCTCTAGAACTTATTCATCACTTTCATTGTGTTGTGGTGTTTTTCTTTTATTTGCTATTAATGTCACACTGCCTTAGGTACCAGGATAATTGCCAAGCTAGTGAGAACCCTCACAGGTGCTGGGACCCTCCTCCTGCAACTCAGCACAAAAGGCATGTATGCTGACATTGACCCAAGTGTTCAGGCTCCTGCCCAGCAGGGCAGCAGAGGCCAGCAGTGGTCACTGGGTGGCTGGTGAGCTGGCAAATGAGTGAGCTCCCATTCTGGGGAGGTGGGAAGGAGGCAGAAGGCAGGGCATGTGTAAGCCAAGGTTCTCAGCTCCTGGCACATGCTCCGCTATTCCTTCAAACTTCACTTACAAAACACAAGTTCAAAGATAAAATTATTAAGAATTTTAAGACAGTAACCAAAGACCATTAAATCCCAAGCATGGGAGTCCTTTCTGCGCTTAGGACTCTGTGTGATTACACTGGTCATTAGCTCATGAAGCCAGCCCCTGCATATAAGTCTGTTCATTCAGCATTAGTTATAATAGCAAAATACAATAAACCAAATTGTTCATTAGTAAGTGATCAAAGAAATAAACTATGGTACAACCACACAGTGAAAAACCATGTAGGCAGGGGGCGGTGGAGCAGGAGAAGCGAATGAGACCGGGAGTCTCTGTACGTGCTCCAAAGTAGTTGGGTCTTGTCTGAACTGGGAAGAAAAAAAAAAAAAAAGAAAGTAGTTGGGGACGTGGAAACATTGATTTATTAATTTGCTCAACTGCCTCTTTTGAGCACTTACTACATGCCAAGTACTTCTCTGAACACCAAAGAATAACAAAACAGTTTATGCTATGTAAGGAGTCCCCGAGGAACAAAGGGAGTGAGGGTGGGAAGTGAGCAGGCTCTATCCTCACATTCATTAGGATGTGATACAATCTACCATCGAGAAGTGCTATTGCAGTGCTACAGATCAATCCCTCTATGTGTGCATGGGACCATACCATTCTTTGTTGCACAATACATATACAGTATTGCTTTATTAATTGCCCCTTTCACAGCTTCAACTGTCATTCATTTTCCTGGCTTTCCTTTCGTAGGTAAATTCATTCAAATACTTATTGAGTGCCTACTTTATGCCAGATTCTGTCCAGGGCATACTCAGGTTACATCGGGGAACAAAATGGATAAACATTCTTGCCCTTATGGAGCTTAACATTGTGCCGGGGTGGAGATGGAGGAGGATATTAAACACTAGACAATAGAAATAATAAATAATTGCAGTGTATAGTATGTTCCGTGGGAATAAATATAAAAAATTAAAAGAACAAAGTAAGAGAGATGGGAGGCTCAGATTGCAATTAATAGAATGGTGAGGCTAGGAGCGGTGGCTCACACCTACAATCCCAGCACTTTGGAAGGCCTAGGTGGGAAGATGGCTTGAAGCCAGGAGTTGGAGGTTGCAGTGAGCTATGATGAGGCCACTGTACTCTAGCCCAGGCAACAGAGGAAGACCTCATCTCAAAAGAAATTTAATAAAAAAATAAAAATAAGAGAGGTGGTTTCTCTAACAAAATGGCAGCAGGTGGCTTCCACAGAGCTGCTGCTGGGGCCAGCACCTCGGTGAAGCCCATTTTCAGGACAAACATGAACAAGGCCAAGAGGAGGGTGCGCAAGCTCTACCACTCCTGGTGTGGGGAGGTGCCAAACACTGTCACTTACTCCAGCTAGACATCAGTGTGAAACAGGAACAGGATAAAGTCTGAGACATGTTTATGAAGAATGCCCATATCACAGACCCCAGGGTAGTTTATCTTCTGGTAATTAAGGGAAAGATGGAACTGGAAGAAAAAATTAAAGTATGGAAGCAGTGGTCACATATTATGCAGTTCTTCCACAAAACAGAAGCACCAAGGCCAAAGGATTTCCTGTCCAACTTCTATGTTGGCGATGACCCATGATGTGGAAAGGTGCATGTTTATATTTCATTATTAAATAATACAAAAAAAGAAAGAAAAACCATGTAGCTATTAAAAATGACATAGACATTTAACACCCATTAACAAAAAATTTTCAGAATATTAGGTATATCATGATCCCATCCACTAAAATATTAAGTGTGTATGTATGTGTGTGTGTGTGTGTGTGTGTGTGTGTGTGTATGTATATATAAAGGAATGTTAGGAAGGATACCCCAATATCTTGAAAATGATTAGGAAAAGAAGGAATTTTTACTTTTTATACCTATAATATTTCAGTTTTTATAATTATTTCTGAAATAAAATAATTGTTTAAAAAATTCAATTCCAACATCTAGAAACATATGTCTGAACTGCAGTGAAATCTGCTGGCTTCATCATTTAAGAATATAAAAAGATTATAGAAAATAATCTTCCTGACCTATAAAAGACTACTCATTAAAATTCTTACTATTCTTTTTATCTTGTTGAAAAAAATTCTTACCATCGTTGCTGGGATCTTCAACAGGAGACACCGAGTCCATATGCTCTAGGATTTCCTTTGTGATTTCAACAACCTGAAGCCTTCTGACTCTGACTAGGTCTGTATCTTTCAACCCTTCCTCCAATTGTTTGACCACCTCTTTTCCAGGCTGGGAAGTCAGAACAGTAATCTGAAAATAAATCCAAGAATCAATGTGTTTATTCTCCCTGATGTACAGAGTGAGGAACATAACAGTTTATATCTGGAGGATAAACACAGCAGAAGTCTGTGGTGGTGGCTATTGTGGTTAATGCAAAGAGGATTTAACTGTAACTTACAAATCAAATTTAATTTGACAGAGTCTGGTGGGACAGGTCATTGTAGGATCTTTCCAATCAGGCTGAGTTGACCCCAGAAAGTGACCAGTAAGAAGCCATACCTGTGTGTTAGTCTTTCAAGATTGTGTGAAGTACTGACAGCATCTAACCTGCTCAAAATGCTTTGATTTTACAAGGAAACAAAGGAAATAAAGATTCTTAATTTTATTTGCTAAATGTGTACTAAATATTACAAAGCCTATATGCTCTTTTCTCCCAATGATGCTTTCAATATAGCATTCTCAGACTGATTTCTCTTCTCATTCAAGCTGGATCCAGTTGAGCTATTTCTTTTGCTCTTTTGACTCTACAATATATTTACTCTTGACCAATATATCTGACCTGAAGGGATATTGAGGTATTTGTATATAATTTGAATGTTTTATTCCATCAGAATGAACATACTATGTTTTTATTAGCAGTTTTCTCTTAGACTTTGAAACTCTGGATGATAATTGTTAAATATATGCAATTCTCTTTGCACTTAGATGTTTTTGATTGATGAAGAGGGAT